ATTAGTATCATTGATATATCATACAATATATTAATTTCATAGTACTCTTTTCACAAATTTATTGAAACTTTAAAAAATCGACTTAAGATATTATAGAAATTAATTTATTTGAAGGAATGGACCACTGGCTCGACCTTTCCGACCAACTCAAAAAAACCTAGTCGGCTTGAGTTGGCCTGACCCAACCAAAAAACCCTGACCTGTAGTGTGAAACCTAAAAAACCCTGAGAAATAGCCTGACCCAACCTGCCAGTGCGTCATGTCAAGTATGGACCAAAGATTTGATCCGATCTAACGTTTGATTAGATCTAGCTAGGAGAAGGACGTGAAGCCAACACTCAAACAGTACTTATGGACACAGATGCACCCCCTTATATAAAAAATTTAAAACACAATAAGCTCTAACTAAATTTCTATTATATATATATACCGCAACATATATCCTTCAGCTCCCCACCGCCTTCTAGGCCGCTTTGTCCCCCTTATGTAGCCACACTATGCCATGTCACCGCGGGATCTAATAGAGGTTGATCTTAACATAGAGGATGGGGATGATGAGGCTTAGGCCAATGAGCGCCTTTGTTCTTATAACGGAGACCTCTCTCTAATAGTTGGAAACGGAAATGTATGATGTTCCACATTTCTAGAATATCGTTTCCAGGAACAATCATGTTTTCATTCGAAAACAATTATGGGAACAATCACATTTTCATTTCAAAATAAAGTATAGCTCCATGTTTCCGTTCTTGTTCCATGTTCTCTCGCTCCTTTCGAGAACATGGATCTGAAGATATATCCTCCTCTCCATGGATTATGGCATCCTCCCACTTAGGGCATGTTTTGCCCTTTTAACATATGGGTCTTTATATAAATAAGCTCCTTGAATAAAGCAGTAAAAAAGCCTAAATGCTAACCATCTAGGATGAGTTCTCCAACAAACCACATTTATGGGCACCTGGCAAAAGGCTAGCTTATTGAAAAAGCTCAAGGTGTTTCAAACATGACCATAATATGCAGCTTGCCGGGAGGCCGTATCGTATCGTGGGATTATTTATCACGGGTTGGTTTGGTGTGAGAGAAAAACTGCATTTCGGAAGCTAAAATTTACGATCGTTTACGAAATAAGCGAATAAGGTGATGGTTAGTAAATTATGTATGTACTTTTGACAAATTCATGATGCAAATGCTTACTACAAGATGAGTGTACATGCGTACATGAGTGTTAGTGTCTAAGAAAATTATTGTGCTTCAAGTCACCAAATGAATAGTCTAGATTAACTGATTGGGATGTTGCGGTTTCTTGAGATTGTATGTCTCGCCTCATTACCCACGCATTTCACATGATTCGTGATAGGAAATTCATAGAAAAAACATAGGAACAGTTAAAAATCCCATGTTCCAACTAGGGCCTAATAAAATTCTTGTCTATTGGATCTAACACACTCACCATTTTCTGTCACAATATAATCAAATTGGCAAAAGCTCAATCACTGGATTTTCTGTGTTTTATGTCAGCGTGGATGTATGGCTCCTGGCTCCATAGTCCGTACATTACAGAATGGGTGGCCAAGCTTGAGACTTAAATGATGGCAGATGAGTGGGGAAATTCGATATTACACCTTCTAAATAAGCAATTCAGTCCGCACCAAAAAGATAAAACATTTACATCTATATCTCTTAATTGGCCCAAGTGACATCAAAATCCACCAACACATTCAATACCAAGATATAAAAATATTTATATACCACGATCCAGGGATCCACTAACACTTCCAACATGCTTCCGACATCAAAGTTTTCTACTTGTCTTCTCCTCCGGTCCCTATCTAAGTGTAGCGCTGATATATTAGCAACATTTGTACCAATTGAATAATTTTATTTTGAAAATAGATTCAATAATATATCTAATGATACTAATTATGTATTATAAATATTAATATTTGATTTTATATATTTAGTCAAAGTTAAATACGTTTGACTTCTAAAAAATAAGAACTAGAGATAAAAAGGGACAGAGGAAGATAACCAACTCTAGTCATCGGCTAACCACGATTAGTCGTGGACCAGCTCGATTAGTCTGAGCCAAGTCGGTCCTAGTGGACACTATAGTCGTCCATTGTAAATGGCTAAATGCCTAGCTACACAAGGGTGTACACTGTGTATATTTGGTCTTAGTCCCTGGTCCAGAACTGCCGTATCCATCCCAGAGCAGTAGTAGAGCAAAGACAGGATGACGGAGGGTGGAACAGTAAACATTGGATGAGTTTATCTTCGTAATCCAGTGGAGCTGGAGGCGGTAGCAGCTGGGAAGGGACGACGCGGCGGCAGCCAGCACAGCTGTGAAGGAGAAGTCGAGAAGGAAACGGCAAGACTTTCGACAAGTGCCAGTGCACAGCTGCCAAGCTCAAATTATATTTTCACCAGTCGTCCACCACCAAATCAGACAATTGAATTAATTGGACGACTTGATTTCTAATCGGTCTAATCTGAGTCTCGGTGCCTAATCAAGGTCAGGGGACCAATTGGCCCATAATCGTGATTAGTTGGATGACAAAACATTCGTGATTTCAGCATTTAGAACTAAATTCAGTGGAGCAGCAACATCTCAAATTCAGATACATGCCCTGACACCTTGGGGCAGTGTGCACTGAAGGTCTGAAGCTTTAGAACCATATATGCTGCTAACATTTCTACAGATCCCCATACTGTACCATATTACAAAAGCTAAACAATTTTACAACAGCACATGCTGAGGGGTTATGCTAGCCATTACAAGTCAGAGGCTCCAGCAAGTTCGTCGGCCGATAATTCACCTGCTTTTGATTTCCTGTACGGAAGCATTTCTGGGCAGTACCGCCTTGCAAGCACTTCCACTTGCTCAATGAAAGGCTTATCTCTGTGGCCACCGATCAGGCGGACCATCTGGTTCCATCTTTGACAGCAAAGCTCCCAGACCTGAGTAAGAGAAACAACCTGTTACTGTAACCACTAACCAAAGTGGTCCGATAACACTAGCTTTGATATATGGAAAGCATTCCATTCCATTTGAAAAAAAAAAGCTTAATGGGTACAGTTTTCATACTAATTTTATTATCTATCTATTAAACAGAATATCGCAAGTTTTTTAGCTGAATAAGGCAATTTGCTACACAGTAGTCTTGGTAGGAAAAAACAAGCTCCACAATACTGGAATCTTTACTAAAAGGGAGACATAGGTCATCTGCAAGGTTTTCTCAAGCACAGGAAAAGGCAAAACAACACAAGCAAGGACCTCAGCAATAAAGAATTGATGGCATATGAACTAGGCAGTCACTCTATGGTCCCCAAGAGCTAAAAGGTTCTCTGTTAAGTGTTGTAATGCTAATGCTCTTTCAGAACAAATGTTTTTTTTTTCTCTCAGAAAGGAAGAGGCAACCTAACATTTCATCGGATCAGTTGGCATAGCACTAAATGATTTGTAGTTCACTGAAATCACAGAGGACTGGATCAATTCAATTAAATTTCATGTTAAAAAAACAATGAAAATGGGAGCCATATACCAAAACTACTAAATTCTAGCAACAGACTATGTTGAAAGATTGAAGCTAAGTCAGCAATCAGCAATCAACACTCACCTATGCTCAAGAAGGTTCTCCCAGTCAATATCTTCAACACAAACAGCATCAACATTTTGAAGCCTGGTTTATTGTTAAGAAAATTTAGTGCAGGCAACAAATAATGTATCGTGATAACAAAGACAGAAGAAAATGCTACCAAGAAACAAGACAATGCTACCAGGCAACACTAACAGGAGGCATATTGCCTACAATTCAAACATATCAGCCACACATTATCAGTCTATCATGGTGAACATGGTAAATATTGTTCCGGTACACACCTTCTAAAAGAACTTGCATTTCATTCTATTCGTTCAGATTTTGTGCATGAAAAGAAGAGTAAGTTAAAAGGAAGAACAATAAAATTCCATGTCAGGTATTAGACCTATTTTGAATTGGTATAGAAGAAGAAAAAGGATAATTTGTCTGGTTTTAAAAGTATAAGGGGCAAGTTGCATTAACTCAAAAGCAGAGGGATCAAATACGCAAGTTTTCCTTATTGTAATCATAGATTTATACCTCAAAGTTCAGAGGCACTTTCAGGCCATATCACAACAATAATCCCAATGACAAGCAGATGACATTTTGGTATGACAATAGTACAATATTTGATAGGTAACCCATAGAAACTTACGCTTCCACTAACAGATAATCATCTGTATCTGCCCAGATTCCTTCTTTAACCAGTGGTGATGCTAATTGCTGGTACCTGTTATGTATGAATAAATTTCATTTAATGACTACATATGTCCGAAGATAGTATCTTCATACATAAGCTGAAAATTTAGGACAAACAAACCAAAATTAGCAATACAAAGTTGGGTTTCAGTAGTCAAAACATGCCAAACCGACACTATAATAAAATCTCAAACATTTTTGAAGCTATTAATCATTTTACAAGAGTTTCGATACAACCAAACCATGTTAGTTTAGACAATGAGAAAAATAATTCACATTGCAATAGAGTCTGTACCAATGCCAGGTATCAGCACCAGCCTCACTAGAAAAAATGTCTTAACAATAAATATGCCAAAGAGATACCACGCCTGCACTTCTACAAACAGAACTGATACCCAATCAGTTTGAGGACGACAAGGCAGACCAACGTAAAAAGAAAATGCAGAAAAACTTGAAAATACAGAATTAGGGCCATATTCAAGGAGGAAATTATGTTATGCATTAAATGGCTGGCAACACTAACCACTTCTTGCAGCATTACGTGGTTATTACGAAAGTGGTTAATTTTTCACTGATAGCCTCCCAAGAAATGTTCTCTCTATCTGTCACAAATGAGTACACTTGATTATATGGAATAAAGGATACAGCAATGTGAAAGAGCACTAATGTCAAGATGGTAAACATGAAACTGATATAAAACATGCACAAGGATAAAGAATTACACACCCGACGGTGACCAGGATCGAAGTTTTGATGGGCTTTCACACGCAAGTCCAAATTTACCAAATCAAATAAGTTTTGGTACTCATCCTGAGACCAATGCCCTGAACATTACACCAATTAAGGGGAGGGGAGGGGGGGACCGAAACACAATGGACAAGTTAGCACACCAAAGTATTATCTTTCTATATTACATAATGAAACTTCAATTCACGGTAGAAAAAACTTAGGACACATCCTTTGCATTGTGAAACCCTGTTTACATCAAAATCTAATTAGTAAATCCTTTAAAACTTATGATCTTTCACAAAATCTAATTTGTATATCCTTTGAAACTATAACCTGGTTAAATTTAACTGACTCGACACATTGTAACTGAAGATACAAATACACATGCAGTCTAGCCATGTTATATAGAAGTACCCATGCTTTGACATTTTCTCCAAACAGGTGCCTGTCATTCAAAGCTGACACAAACCAAATGAAATTCGTGGTGGTTGCCATTTGCCATGCCTCTACTTTTTTAACAGTGTGCTCAAATTAACCATCTGCACCCAAAATAAGGGTACCTACTCCAAAGATGAAGGTGTAACTATTGTGAACCCTGTATGGCTCATACCGAGTTTCAAATTAGATATATGACAAAGCATGAACACATGCTATGCAAATATCTCTGTGGAATATAACATAAGTTATGGAACAAAACTGAAATAAACTAAAGTAAAAGTCTATTTTATATCCCCATAATCTTGTTTTTTTATTAACCCAAATGAGTGCCATTATAACTAACACAAGAAAAAACATTCTGATAGAGTGTACACCAAACACAACAATGAAAAAGGAGGTACAGTTGTAATGATGAAAATGCATATTGGCTAATGAATTAGCACTTGTGATAAACTTAAAGGCTATACAGTGGAAGACACCTCTTTTCAAATTTTTGGGCTTGATTAGTCTCCAAGTATCTTTTACATGGATTTCATTCTTTCCAAGTTCTTTTGCTAATACCTCCAATTTCTGCCATTCTTTTCAACAAACCTGTCATGCATGGCAATCTTAATCACCTGAAGCCAGTCATCATAAAATAAGATCCTAACATTACTTCTCACAATAAATGCCAAGAAAGTATGCTGCAATGTGAATGACAGCTAGGCTTTATATTACGCAGCAAGTACATGATATACAGTGACGCCAAGAGATAGGATATCATATCCAAGAAAAAATATTAGTTACAAAGAAAATTCAACTTGAAATTACTAATCTTAGACACAGTACCAAATTAAATAGGCAATTTGCTATAGGACATATAAAAGTGACCTCTCTTTGCTAGCGGACATATAAAATGGAGCAGTTTGCTTTGGTGGACACACTCGTTGTTGTCAAATTTGTTCACAGACACCGTGGCCAATAAAATATTAATTTCTTGCTCCGAGGAGAGAGAACTGTGGTGAAATGCCTGTTTTGCCCTTGGCTCTTTTTTTTCTTCCTCTTGCTCTTTCTTTTCTTTCTCCTTCGCACAAGATCCTGGTCTGGCCTGTGAGCAGCAGCAGCAGTGCACGCCTGCAGCAGGTGGGGAGGGAGGAAGCAGCAATGGCAGGAGAGCAGCTTGTGGGCGCCCGGGGACCGGTGATTCTTGGCCTGCGTGAGCTCCATCTACGTGTTGAGGAAGAATTGCAGGCGATCGCGACTCCAGCTCCTGCATTAAGTCCATGCGCGACGCTCAATCTCTGCGGCCTGCTCCAGCTTTCGCGGCCTCCGCAGCGCTCAGCACCACTTGCCAAGGCGCCGTGTCGCTGCGCCAGACTCCCCTCAAGCCCTACTGCTGATGTCGCCGCCGTTGCCACCGTCCGAGCGCCTTCCGTCCGTCCTCTTCCTCTTCTCGTTCATCGCCGGAAGGCCGGCACCGCGGGAAGCCGTCGGAGGATCAGCGGAGCTAGCCGCTGGCATCAGCAGCGCTCTTGACTGCGCTGTGGAAGCCCACCTGCAGCGCCACAGGCACTTGGCTGCGGCTGTTGGAGTCCTCCTCCACCGCCAGCTGCCGCCGCCGAGCCGGGCTTGTTGCCGTAGGTGGGCTCGTGGAGAAAATCGACAGCGCACGCCAGCGAAGCGGCAGACGCAGCAGCGCATGCGGGGCTGTCGCGTCGCCGCCAAAAATCGACATATGCGGACCCAGGCCACCGGGCGGCGCGACGGAGCGCCAAGCACTCACGTGGTTGATGCTGGCTGCGTGCGACCACAGCGGGCGGCGGGGAACCAGGGAGCAGGGCTGGAGGCAGACCCAGGAGGCGCAAGTCAGCGGCACCGTCGAGCTCCGAGCTCATGCGGCCATGGCGGCTGCACTAGTGAGAAAAAAAAAGAAAGGCGAGGAAGAGAGGAAAGGGCAAAACAGGCATTTCACCGCTGTTCTCTCTCCTCGAAGCAAGAAACTAATATTTTATTGGCATGTGTCCACCAACAAACTGCTCCATTTTGCATGTCCACTAGCAAATAGAGGTCACTTTCAAAGTCCTATAGCAAATTTTGCCAATTAAATATTGCATTTTTCGATAAGTTTATGAATAATGTCTTTAAGGCTAGAGATGGGGGAGGCAGAGAGCATCAGAACGATATAGCACATTACAGTTAATATGCTATCATACTCTCTCTCCATTCCAAAATTGTAAGTTATTTTGGCTTTTCTAGATTCATAGTTATTACTATGTACCTAGACATAGTTTATATCTAAACTAGATGCATAGCAAAAGCTATGTACATAGAAAAGCCAAAACGACTTACAATTTGGAGCGGAGGAAATGAATTAATCTAACTTCAGTAATGCAGGGATGCTAGTAGCTATCTCATCATCTCTTAGCACATCTATTAATATACTACACAGAATCAAGATAGAATTAAGGACTAGTGTTCCATGTAATCCAACCTTTTGGTTGAGCTCTACAACTAAACCTAAAATGTAGAAATGTGAAGTAAACTTAGTATATATAATGGAAAACTAAACTAAAGTTCAAAATTCTCAGTAGGAGGATTTTATGTTACCGTCGAACTATCTCGTACTCCTCTTCAGTCCATTTACGTTCAGCACTCCTTTGAAGTAAGATCCGTGCACGCTTTGTATACTGACTTTTATGGAGTCTATGAGGTAATGATTTTGCTGCAACAAATACCTAGTAAGCCATCTGCTAACTAGATCAGGAAAACATAGACTTTGACAAGATTCATTTTACATTATTCACAAGCCAAATTCCTAAATTATCAGCAAAGTGCATATTCGGCAAGAATAAAATTTGCAATCAAACTATTGTTTTCAGCATATGAGCCTAAAGACTGATTTCAATTTGTGTTTACAAGTTTACATGTGTAACTGATATACTAATTACAAAAGGAAAGCCGGTATAAGAGGGGAATGTAAAATAGATAGCTCCAAATGTTTATGGCTTTACCTATTTCAACCCAACAACCCCTGAGCTCTGGATGTTTAATACAATCTCCAATCATCTCTAACCCTTTCTCTCTAATTGCTTCATCTATATTGAGGAAAACATTAAAAGAAGTGAAGTCCCAACCATGGTGAGCACGTAAACTATAGCCACCACTCACCGATTTATTTATTTAGTAAACAGAACAAGTAGAAACATGATATAGCACCAAACTCCAAAAAATAATTAATATATGTAATACTGGTTACTAATCAAATATAGAACATGAGAATACCTAAAAATATAGGTTAAGCCTATGTAAAGAACATTCTGAACTCTCCCATTAAAGTTAATGCAAAAAGGAGAGATAAAAGTATAACAATAGCTATTACATGAATGTTGAAAATACTGAGTTGAAGTATCTTATACAAACAGTACATGAAAATATAAGTACAAAATGAAAAGTTCATTTCATCAATATATTAAACATTTCAGTAGACAACAGACAGTAATCAGGTAGTACATACATTAAAATTGGGAAAAAGAATTATCAAGGTCCATCTTTGTAACTTAAAGAATAATAATCCACATCACTTAGTAACAAATAATAGTAATCCACATACATTTATAAGCAAGCAAAGGCACTAAATAGAATGCATATAATTTGTGAAACCCAGCAATATATAAACTATAAAGCAAGAGAAGAAACCTCTGCATATTTCACCATGGCTTCCATTAGTTTCAGCATCTTCCTCAGAGGTAAACCGTCGTCCATGCACAAGTTCAGTTTCACCACTCCCATCACCCTCTACATCATCACTGCCACCTATATTAAACACCTCCACATCATCAGTGAAGCTCACTCGTCTACCCTTGTCCTTTCGCTTTGCCATGTTTTCTTTTTCTCTTTCACCGCCATCATTCTCATCCTCACACACTTTTTCTCTTTGATACCCTTACCATTCTTGCCCTCTCCAGCTGGTGCATTTTGTCTTAGGTCAACACCAATATTATTTCTCTCCTTTCTCCTCTTTTTCTTGCTCTCTGTCTTCTTCCCAATCTTTGACATGTCAGATTTATTGCCCTCTTCCAAGTCCAAGGTAACTAAACACTCCTTTTTCCTCCTCTTATCTTTCCCTAAAACAATTTTATTACCAGAAGAACCACTCGAGGCAGTCTCATCATCCTGATGCTTTCGCTTGTGCTTCTTGACTTCCTATCATGTTCTCTTTCTCCGTTGTTCCTCTCCACATCTTCTGACCCAACATTTTCATCAGCGTCAAGCACCTGATTCTGGCCATTAGTTTCAACCTCTTTATCTTTCTTCTTTTCTTTCCTATGTTTCTTCACAGAGCTTTTGCTCATAGCACCTCTGCATGCTCCAAGCAGGGGTTTTCAGCCATCGTGGCTGACACATCAGCTTGCTCCATCTCAATGCTATGGTTCCTGTCACCAGAATGAATTGAACTATCACAATCGCCGCCACGACCCTTGTCCTTATGCTTCTTCCCTTCTTTAGTCCTTCTCTTCTTTGGTTATTTGGCAGTCTTTCTCCTCCTTGTTGCTCATAACAGCCTTGCCCTCACAATCGCCACCCCGACCCTTGTCCTTATGTTTCTTCCCCTTCTTCCGTCCCTTCTCTTCTTTGGTTATTTGGCATTCTTTCTCCTCCTCCTTGTTGCTCATAACAGCCTTGCCCACTCTGCACTCTGTGCTGGAAACCCTCTCCATTGCCTCTTTGCTGCTGCCCAAAAACACCAGGAAATTGACCAATATTAGTATTCGGTGAGGTTTCACTCAAGTAGCACCAGTGGTCGACCTCCAAAATGGACCAAACAAGGGGCTGACTACTCAATAACTATCATGTTCCATACTTATGCTTACAACAGGAAAGAAATTCATATATATAATCATGTAAAATTGGTGATGATAGTTAATGCAAAAATATTTTCAAAAAAACAATCACATGCATATATATAGACAGAACTAAATGATGCACCTGAGCAACAGATTAATTCTGTGCCAATTGGGTTTATGTTTATAAACTTTTGGATCTTAACTATGGGAGAGGCACCAGCGACAGGACAAGGACCTGCCGCTTGCTCTCTGGATGTTGGAGGCAGAGGGGAACACTGCTGCTGCCAGTGCCTCCGAGCTGGCCTCGACCTGCTTGGGGCCTGGTCACTGCTGTGCTGCGTGCAGGGCCACCGGGTGTCTCGCCTAGCTGCGTCTCTGCAGATGGGGACTGCAGGGCTGGGGATGAATGGGATTGGGAGGACGCTGCCAGCCGTCGTATACCAAAGACGAATCGAAGCAAACAACGACATGCAAGCTAGGGCTGGGCCTTCTTCCCTAGGCTGTTGATGGGCTACCATTACAAGCTGGCAGTAGCTAGGGCTGGGCCTTCTTCCCTAGGCAGTAACTTCTAATTGGGCTGGTGGTTTTTTAGAAGTCACAGTACGCCAGTAGCAAGAGCAATCCCAGTACCCATTCCGCGAAATTAAATTTTAGCCAGTGATTTTCTAGCAGTTGAGTGTGCCATCGAAATGCAGTGCAAGAGACGAAAGCAAGGAAGGAAAAAATCTAATAGACATCTAAACTCACCCGCATCATTTCTATCACACAAATTTAGCTAGGGTTTAGGAGAACTACGAGAACACGCATTGCTGGTATCAGGGTATGAGTATAGAAACCTAAGCAGTAGGAGAGGAGTTGAGGGGTGCACTCACATCGCGGTGGATACCAAGGAGGAAGACGAGGTGGAGGTCGCCGTGGGGGATGCGGAGGCGGCGGCGGCCGAGGTGGAGGTGCCGACGACGCTGAGCGAGATGTCCGGGGCGGAGCACCGGCGCCGAGCCGCCAAGACGGGGAGGCGAAGCGGCGGCGCCACGACGGCACTACAGTTACTTGGGAGGCGAGTCATTGAAGGGTTATGGACTGGGCTTTCCAAAATAGGCCGAAGCTGCGGCCCTGGCCCTAGCCCTGGCAGAGAAATGGCTTCAACCTTTTGGATTGCAGTTTCGGTCGATTTCCATTGGATACGAAAAATCTGATGCTTAATTTTGTTTCTTGAAAATACGAGGGAAAAAAAGGGAAACATCAAGAGCTGCACAGGCCGGCCACCGCTGATGGGCCATCGGGCGCCCCACGAGCCCACGAAACTAGAATAGAAGGGAAAAAGAGGCACGAGAGGAGAAGACAGGGCCCACCAGGCCCCAGACGAGCGTCGTGTGGTCCGCGTGCCGCGTGGAGGCAGCGCGATCTTTTGGTGCCGCCCGGCGGATCTCGTGGCCGAGGCACGACCGCAGCAGCAGCGGCGATCGACGACGTGCCGAGCAGGGAAAGCGACGAGGGGCAGCCAGAATATCTGCCGCCCACCAATGGCCTCGCGCCCCGCACCCTATCCTCTCCTCTCCCTCCCCGGCTCCGAGCAATCTCCCCCCGCCCCCACCTGGCCACCTCCATGCCGCGCGCGGTAACACCTCCGTCAGTGCCCGCACTGCTCGTAGTAAAACACTAGCGGACCAGCAAGCGCTGAAGCGCCTCTCTCTCTCTCTCTCTCGCCTCGTCAGTCCCTCTCCCCGGCGGGCGTGTGGTGGCCATAGCTTCCCTGCCTCCACTTGTCTTCTTTGTTTCCTCTGCTGAGGCTAGTAGCTTCAGTCCAGTTCGTCGCTGCAGTCTCCACCCGCTTGCTACTGCGCGCACTTGTGCTGCCTGCTGTCCTGTGCCGCCGACTCTACGTCATCATTCGCCCTGCTGCCTCCGCCGCCGCCGCCTCGGTCTCGCAGGTACAGTACAACTCCGGCGTTTGCTCGCTCACTTTCGGTAGGTGTGTGCAGATACATACGTACTCACGCAGGCGTGCGCAGGTGAAGGGACGCCATGACCGCCACGCCGGCGGTGATCGGTCTGAGCGCCGGCAACCGCCTGCTCGCCACCTCATTCGGCTCCACCGACCTCGCGCCCCGGACGCGCACCCGTCGCTGCAGTTCGCGCCCGCCGCGCCCAAGCTCACCGTCGTCGCGCACCGCGCCTCCGCCTCCTCCTCCTCCTCCCCCGCCGGCCACGCGCGCGCGCACGCCATCCGGGCGCTCAGGAACCACTCCGCACCCGCGCTCGCCCCGCCTCTGCCGCTGCCGCTTCCACCCGCAGCGGACCCGGCTCCAGAGCTGGACACGGAGTTCGAGTTCGAGTCCTCGCTCGAGGCCATCGTGCTGCTGCAGCGCTCCATGCTCGAGAAGCAGTGGGAGCTCCCCTTCGAGGACGACATCTCCTCCGCCGGGGACGAGGAGGACGAGGTGGACGAGACGCTTAGCAAGGCCACGGTGGTGGTGGCGCGGTCGGGCGTCTCGGCGCGCCAGCGGCGGATGAGCGGCCGCCGGCGGGGACCTGGCCGGAAGAACGTCACCATCAGCCCGGAGCTGATGCAGAGCCGGAACCGCATCTACCTCCGGGGCACCGTCAGTAAGGACCTCCTCACGCACAAGCAGGTCATCCAGCTCTCCAGGAAGATCAAGGACGGCATCTGGCTTCAGCACCAAAGATCAAAGTAACATTTCAATTCAAAATGCATGCCCATCAATTGCAACGTAATTAGCATTTGAAAGTTGACATCGTATCTCCCAAAACCAGAGTGTTTGCATTGTTAATATAGCTACATATAACAATGAATGAGTCGGAAATTGATACACATAATTGTCACACACATGACACATCACCACTTAAAATGCTCAATAGGCTGAAATGTATGCACACGTTACAACTTTTCATTGTTTTTTTTTTAATTTTCATGTAACATAAATGTGATCAAAGTTGCATGTTGAAGATTGAGTGTATCTAATGGATTCCAATTCCCTAGCTGATTCCCCGTTGTCCCCAATTTTGAGTTCAGGCTGAAGGAGAAACTGGGTAATGAGCCGTCATACAAGCAGCTGGCACAATCACTGCGGATATCAGCTCCTGAACTGCACGCAAGGATGCGCGAGTCGTTTCTTGCGAGGGAGATGCTGACAATGAGCAACATCCGTTTGGTGATATCCATTGCCCAGAAGTATGATAACCTCGGTGTCGAGTTGGCAGACCTTATTCAGGTGATGACATAAGCTCGATCATTTAACTTGTATCTGGATATTCCAGCTGTTTATTTGTTACACTGTAAATTACTGTACCTGAAATGTTGAAATGTAATGCGTCCATTGATGTTGCAGGGTGGTCTGATAGGGCTACTCCGTGGGATCGAAAAGTTTGATGCCTCAAGGGGATTTAGGATTTCCACCTATGTGTATTGGTGGATTCGTCAGGTTAGAGCAGATTTTCTTGTCCTGCAGCAATTTGGACCTAATCAGATCATAGCTGAATTGAGCCTTCCATTCATTTGCTTGTAACCCCCAGGGCGTTTCAAGAGCATTGGCTGATAACTCGAAAACGTTCAGGCTCCCTACTTATTTGCATGAGAGGCTGATAGCAATTCGTGGTGCAAAGTATGCGTTGGAAGATCAAGGAATTGCTCCGACAGTAGAGGTAAGGAGGCTATATTGATGAAGTTTTGGCCACTTCTGTTCCAGCAAACCGCATAGTATTTCAAGATGCAATTTCCCGATTTATTATCTCGATGATATGGCTGATTTTTTTAGTTAATTTCCTATTAATTTTAAACCTAAATAGTAAGGAATTTTGAAACATTCTGATGTTCTTTTATGACCTTTCTGGCAATCCTCAGAACATAGCAGAGTCGCTTAATATATCAGAAAAGAAAGTGCACAATGCTACAGAGGTAAAAGAACTTAATCTTCATGGTTGAATTTCTTCTGGTTAATGCCTTTTGACATTTCTGCCATTCTCAAAAGCATTCACATATGCAGGCTGTGAACAAGGTTCTTTCGCTGGATCAACAGGCGTTCCCCTCCTTAAACGGCCTACCTGGGGACACACTCCATAGTGTAAGTAGAGTTCTATGAACCATTCCATCTTTTTGACTTGGGCTATGCTAGAAACTAACATTATTCCTCTTTTCCTCATGTTTTCAGTATATAGAGGATCAAAACGTCGCAAATGATCCATGGCATGGATTTGAGGAAAGGTATCTCAAGGTATGCACACTGATGTTCTTCCAAAGAGAATACTAATGCATACTAATTTCTTGTGACAGAGATATGCCCATTACTATCAAACAGTTGTTATAGCTTCCAATTTGTTGTTTGTTACGATACATGGCCCTATCATAGTAATCACTAAGGAATACTTCATTGTTTTGCTGTTTTTGCAAATTTGTCATTTTATTTCTGGCGTACCTAATAGCGAATTAAAGATTCTCCTTCTATGATACTTCCACATCTGTTTTAAGATAAATACTCTGTTGATGCCAGGAGGAAGTCAATAATCTTATAAATTCAACTCTCAACGAGCGTGAGAGGGATATTATTCGATTATATCATGGCATAGGAAAACAGTGCCATACATGGGAGGACATCAGCAGACAGTAAGTATTCAGTCTTCTTGTCTGGACTTACAAAGAACAATCTATCTGTGCGTATAGCTATACTCGTAACCAAGTCTGTTTGAAGTTGGATTGCATGCAGTCTGCCCATACCTTAAGCACAACCATGAGAATTTGCAGGGATTTTTTTATTTGGATTTTGATGTTCTAATTCTGGCATGGAAATTATATTCTCCAGATTTGGGTTGTCGAGGGAGCGTGTGAGGCAAGTAGGACTCATTGCGATGGAGAAGCTGAAGCATGCTGCAAGGAGGAAACATTTGGATGCATTGCTTGAGGAATATTGAGATGTTTTTCATTTGAGTCGGTTCCACAAATGCAGTGGTTGTATATACTCGGAAACATAGGGTACATCATCCTTGAAAAGGCTTTACTGCCACTCACTCTGCAGATAACTATACATGTACATTTGTGACAATTAATAGGCATGCATGATTCAGATATCTATGGCCGCACAATCATCAATGCGACCCAACAAAAGAGAAGCTGTTTTTTTTCTTGGGAAGCTTCATAAATTCTGTAATATATGTATACGCAATGTATCATTTAGCACCTTAATCAGTAGAGCAACATTTATGTCCTGGATCTGTATTCTTCTCCAGTTACACGAAAGCAAAATGCTTTCAAGATTATGGTGCCTACAAATTTTATATCTGAAATGTGCAATAAAATAAATCCCAGGATAAATTTCTGAATATCCTAAAAACTTGGTCGATATAATGATATATGGCCGGAGTATGGTCAAGGCAATTCTGCAAGAATATGTACGTGATGCCTCATTTAGGCCTGAATATTTTCTTTCTATCCTAGTTGCAACAAATCAACCAGAAGATTTTGCATGTATGAAATAGCAATAGTACGGGGTATTTGCAAATACCTTTGAGAAACTTGAAATCATAGAGCTCAAGAAAAAATCTCTTAAAATTCTGGAAAACTTTTGGTCGACGAGTAGCATGAGTTCTGATCAAGGCAACTCTACAAGAATGTATGCGTGGTGCAGCAATTAAGGAAATGCTTGAAGATGATGATTGATGAGGTCAGCAACCAGAAGCAACTGAATCGTAAGGTTGGGTAGTCTTTTTGTAGGTTGCTCTCAAGCAAGGCTGGGCCTTGGGCCTTTGGAACCGCTAATGCCTGAGTTTGGGCTGCCGTGTCTGATAGGCCCTAAAAGCAACACCAAGAGAGTTTTGCTCCGGTAGACCTCACAGAAAAGTTTGCACGCATCTTAAAGTAATCTAATATTAATTAAAACATTCTTAAATAATTAACCCATGGGCCCAGCCCTATCCATACCAGTTCGCAACCCGACCCATGTCACTTGTTCGTTTTTCGTCCATTCGATGGCAGCACAACAGCACGCCGAGAGGCGGCAGCAGCAGGTTTCGGCGGCAAGTGGAGAGGCGGAAGCTTGCGCCTTGCAGGGCTTGCGCTTTCTGCGCGTGAGCGGCGGCCAGCCTGCTGAACGCCACGGCATCTACTGCAGTGCAGCGTCGCCACCGTCGGTCTTGGACGGACGGCGGGCGGTCACATTCAGCGGTTGGGACTGTGAAAGTTCGAGGAGGCGGAGGAGAACACCGATGCCCTATCTAGGTCGTGCGGTGATTGCGTGTTGATTGGATGCGAGAATAGCCCGCATGTGGCAGTTACATATAGGCGTTACAACTTGAGGGCTAAGCCAAGAGATCTTTTCTAAATATAAACCTTCTATACATAAATGATCTATTCCTATACATAGACAATCTAGATCTCTTGGCTTTGGCACAATATGGTAAGGTAAATACACATGCATCTAACCTTTCTATCTAACAGCCTCCCTCAATCTTAACGCTCTAGGTTCAGATTGACTTTGAAATTTTCTAACAGCCGAACAGACAAGGCCTTTGTAAAGCCATCTGCAATTTGATCTCCTGATGAAACAAATTCAATCTCTAGTAATTTTGAGCAACTCTTTCTCTACGACAAAATGATAGTCAACTTCAATATGTTTTGTTACGGCATGGAAAACAGGATTAGCAGACAAGTACTTTGCACCAATATTATCACACCAAAGTCTTGCTGCCTTTGGACTAGGAATACCCAATTCACGCAGTAAAGTTTGTATCCACATAACTTCTGCAGTAGCATTAGCAATTGCTTTATATTCTGATTCTGTACTAGATCTTGAGACAGTAGCCTGTTTTCTTGCACTCCATGATACAAGATTAGAACCCAAGAACACAGCAAACCCTCCTGTAGACTTTCTGTCATCAACACTGCTAGCCCAGTCTGCATCTGAAAATGCACTCACCAAAGTCGAAGGAGACTTCTGTATTTTCAAGCCCAATTCTGTGCATTGCTTCAAGTACCGTAATATTCTTTTAACTGTTGCCCAATGTACTGTGGTAGGTGCATGAAGAAATTGACAGACTTTATTAACAGAAAAGGCTATATCAGGTCTAGTGAGGGTTAGATATTGAAGAGCACCAACAATGCTTCTATACCGTGATGTATCATCCGGTCCCAACAATGATCCTTCATGTAATGATAATTTTTCACTAGTGGATAATGGAGTATTAACAGGCTTGCAATCTGACATACCAACTCTTTTTAGAAGATCAGAAGCATATTTGCTTTGAGTGAGAACAATGCCATCTCGCACCTTGGCAACTTCTATACCGAGAAAATAATGCAGATCTCCCGGATCCTTTAGAGCAAATTCCCTTGCAAATCTTGAAGTAACACTGTGGTAGCATGTGGTGTAGAGCTGGCTATAATAATATCATCAACATAAACAAGGAGATACATGCTAACATCATTCTTGCGATAAAAGAACAAAGAGGTATCAGCCTTTGAAGATTGAAAACCGAGTGATATCAATTTAGCACTTAGTCTAGAGTACCATGCTCTTCTGCCTGCTTTTTTTCCAGACCATATAAGGCTTTATCTAGGCGACAAATAAAGTTTGGTCTTGAAGGATCTTCAAAACCTGGTTGTTGCATATATACCTCTTCTTCAAGATTGCCATGGAGAAAAGCATTTTGTACATCAAGTTGTCTGAGAGTCCATCCTCGAGAAACGGCAAGAGACAGAATAATACGAATAGTAGCAGCTTTAACAACAGAACTGAAAGTTTCCTCATAATCTATTCCATATCTCTGCTTAAAACCCTTTGCTACCAATCGAGCTTTATATCTATCCAAGCTACCATCAGATTTTCTCTTTATTCTGTATACCCATTTGCAACCAATAATATTTCTACCCTTTTGAGGTGGAATAAGGTGCCAAGTTTTATTCTTCATTAAGGCATTGTACTCAAGATCCATTGCATTTTTCCAATTACTATCAGCTAGAGCCTCATCAGTACTACTAGGTTCCCCTGTAGTTGTCAAAAATCCATACCTGACAGTACCATCTGTGTATATTTTCTCCTTGCGTATGCCACTTTGAAGTCCAGTTCTGAATTTCGGGTTGCAGTTGGAGGTGCCGCAGATCTCGCATGCGGATCTGTTGGCTGGCAACAGCCAGCCCGCTGGCCTAGCGAATCTCCAGCTGAGAAGAAGAAAACGATGGCAGCGCGCTTTGTTTGGTGCGGCGCGCGTTGTCCGGATCGGGCGCCGTCGCGAGAGGGGAAACCGGAGATAGCGTGGCGTCCGGCGGTTGGCCAATGGACGCGCCCGAACCAGACTCCGATCCCGAGCCCGCATGCGAATCGCCTCCGGAGTTTGCGCCTCTCTGGTTTGCTCCGTGTACACCGGTTCCTTCCGAATTGTCACCGGCGTCTCCCTGATTCTCATCATGCAACTCAGAGGAAACATTAGAAGAATTAGATGAACCATTAGCACATTGATCTACTGCATGTTCGCCCCCTACATACGGATAAACAAGATCGGAAGGAAGACATAAGATCTCGGGCGAAGATTTTGGCTTCGCATTGGGATGCAAACTCGATGAAGGAAAAATATTTTCATCAAAGATCACATCCCTAGAGATGTAAACACGGCCAGTGGAGACATCAAGGCACTTGTAGCCTTTGTGCAAGGTGCTATAACCAAGAAAGACACATCTTTTGGATCGAAATTCTAGTTTGTGCTTATTATAGGGGCGAAGATGAGGCCAACAAGCACATCCAAAAACTCTCATCGAGGAGTAATCTGTTTTGATTAAAGAGGCGCTCTAGAGGTACTAGCATGACCAATCGTTTTCTTTGGGTACACGATTGATGAGATAAACTGCTGTTTGGAAGGCTTCATCCCAAAATTTTAGGGGCATAGCCGCATGAGATAAGAGAGAGAGACCGACTTCAACTATGTGACGGTGTTTTCTCTCAGCTGACCCATTTTGCTGATGAGCGTGTGGGCAAGAAACAAGATGAACGATGCCAGCTTTATTAAAAAAGGAATTAAGTGTCTGATATTCGCCTCCCCAGTCAGTTTGCATGGCAAGAATCTTACGATCAAACAAGCATTCAACAAGAGTTTGAAACTCTTGAAATTTTTGAAATACTTCAGACTTGTGCTTAAGGAAGTAAATCCAGGTGAACTTGCTAAAATCATCAATGAAACTAACATAATATCGTTTTCGACTAACTGATTCTGGTGCATGACCCCAGACATCAGAGAACACAAGTTCTAAAGGAGACTTGGAAATACTAGAAGACTTGGGATAGGGCAACTGATGGCTCTTCCCTTGCGGACAAGCATCACAAACTAACTGACTCAACGACTCATCGATATATGGGAGACTATTATTACTGACAACTTGCTTAACAATTAACGAAGATGGATGACCCAGCCTACTATGCCATCGAGACAGGGGCAATCTGTTGGAGTTGTAGGCTTGCTTTATTGTTGGCGCAGGTAAAGGATAGAGACCCCTGTGACACCTTCCTCTAAGGAGCATATTCTTCGTTTCCTGATCCTTAATCAGAAAGAAATCAGGGTGAAATTCTATAAAGACAGAGTTGTCAGCGGTAAGACGATGAACTGAAACAAGATTTTTCTTGGATTGTGGAACGTAAAGAACATCATTTAATTGTATGTTACGAGTGGGGGTACGAACTGTAGTACGACCAATGTGACTAATGTTCATACCTGTTCCACTAGCTGTGTGGATCTGATCACCGCCATGATACTTTTTCTTGAGAGACAGCTGCTCGAGATTGCTTGTCACATGATCCGTAGCACCGGTATCAGTGTACCAGTTGGTGTCCACGCCATACGAGTTTGTAGCTGCTGCAACAAGACGTTGATCTGGCACAAAGTTCTCATCGAACCTGTGCCAGCATTCAGCGGCTGAGTGATTCTTCTTGAAGCACACCTGGCACCTGTTGTCATCTGAATCGGGCGCACCACAGGATGTCCCGCGACTATTGTTGTTGTAGAAGCCGCGGGAGTTGTTGTTGTTGTGGGAGCCACGACCTCCTGCAGGAGGCCCGCGACTGGACCTGCCGCGGCCAGACTGCGCGCCCCCACGCGAGGGGCCTCTCCCACGCGCCTGATTCTTCCCGCGCCACGAGCCACGACCACGAGATGCCGAGTTTGCCGATCCAGACCCAGGGCTGCCTCCATAGATCAAGTCCATTCTAGTTTCAAAATTGAGAAGTTGTGAATAAAGCTCACCAACGGAGATGGGTTCCACTCTAGCGCATAGAGCAGAGACGATGGGCGAGAAATCTTCGCCCAAGCCGGTGATGATGTACTCCACCAGTTCTTCATCTTCTAGGGGCCGTCCTGCAGCCGCCATGTCGTCGCCAAGAGCCTTCATCTTGGCAAAGTACTCGGCAACGGACGAATTCTCCTTCTTGGTCGTTGCCAGAGCAATCCGCATGTTGACGGATCGCGCTCGCGTCTGTGACGCGAACATGTCTTCAATGATCTTCCAGGCGTCCGCCGCGGTGGCGCTGGTGGCCACCTGTGTGAGGACATCCTTGGTGACCGACGCGAAGAGGTAGCTAAGGACCTGTTGGTCCGTGGCCTCCCAGTCTTCGCGAGCTGGATTGGGAACCCTCACTTCCTTCCCATCAGCGCCCTTCTGCACAAGCTCCGCCGCAGGTATAGGGGTGGCACCCGTGAGGTACCCCTGAAGACGAGCACCACGGATCGCAGCACGCACCTGTGCCTTCCACAGGGCGTGATTGTTCTTGCTAAGCTTTTCCGTGACGGGCTGGGCGAGGAGAGGATTGGAGGAAGCAGATGATGACGCCATTGTAGTTGCGGAGAGGAGATGCAATCTACTCAAAAGCGATGGCTCTGATACCATGTGAAAGTTCAGAGGAGCGGAGGAGAACACCGACGCCCTATCTGGGTCGTACGGTGATTGCATGTTGATTGGATGCAGAATAGCCCCGCATGTGGTAGTTACATATAGGCGTTACAACTTGAGGGCTAAGCCAAGAGATCTTTTCTAAATATAAACCTTCTATACATAGATGATCTATTCCTATACATAGACAATCTAGATCTCTTGGCTTTGGCACAATATGATAAGGTAAATACACATGCATCTAACCTTTCTATCTAACAGGGACGGCGTCATTTCGAGCACCCTCTCGAGTCTTGACAGGGGCAGCGGCAGCCAACAAGGCTCTGCTCCATTCCTTGACACTGATAGCAATAGCTCCTGCTACTACTCTAGGAATAATGGTCTAACGAATGAATCGTAGCACTAATTCTCCACATGCTTGCTTCCAGGCTTGATCTCCTCATCATTGTCCGTGAAGTAGAATTGCAATTGTCTACCTAGGTTAGGCTTGAAAGTAGGATGGTCTAAATGGTGCTGCGGGCTGCGGCTGCGCTCATCAAGCTGGCAGCCGCCTGGCAGTAGGAGCTCGTCGTGCCCTGCCGCGGCGCTGAGCTGACTTGCCTCCAGTCCACCCGCGCGCTTAACGCTCACGCCATGCCGCCGGCTCTCTGCGTGACGCACCTGCTGCCGCCGGTTGGAGGAAGAACAAACACGCAAAACAGATCCACAGTAATCGGAGAGGTGGACATGGCCGGACTCAGTGTGGATATGGATCGGGCCGCCGTGCCCATACAAGACCCATGGGTTAATTGATCAAGAAAGTTTTAATTAATACCAAGTTACTTTAAGATGCGTGCAGAATTTTTAGGAGGTCTACTGGAGCAAAACTCCAAGAGAGTTTTAGAAAGATTCTACGAGATGCTCTAAGCCCGCTGGATATTTTGAAAAACTTATTTTGATGTGCTTAGCAATGATTACTGTAATCTGCAAGACTTGAATATTTTTCTAGCTGGACCCAAACAAATGCTTGCAGCAGAATGGGGTCAGAAACCTACATTTTTTATAAGGTATCTACAGCATGGTCGACGGTTGTACAAGAAGCAACTCGCCGCACGCACTTGCAGCTAACCCTGGGCATTCCATCAAATCGAACCAATCGGTTCAGTTCCTCGGTCATTCGGTCAGTTCGGTCATCAGAAACCTGGGACCGATCGGTCTTTGCAAAAAACGAAGACCGAGGAAGTTCGGTCTCGGTTAGTTCGGTTCGGTCTCGGTCACGACCGAACTAACCGGACCTGAGTAGCAGCCACAAACAATAATAGAATCTATAGCAATTTTCAACAGCATGCTTGCTATTTGAAGGTAAAAAAATAACAACACAATATATAAAACAAACCACACATTATTATGACAAGTTCTAGCACACAACTTTCTCAGTTCTCACAAATCACAATTACACATAATGACATTACGAACGAAGTCTACAGAACTACGGTCAGTTCGTTCACTTCGGTTAACCGACACATATGACCAAACTTCTATCGGTTACTTCGGTTAGTTGGGAGCCAGGACCGAACTCATGACCGAACTTTTCGGTCTCGGTCTTTTCGGTCTCGGTTTCGGTCTTCGGTCTTCGGTTAATTATGCCCAGAGTTAAGTTGCAGCTCCCAAGAACACACAGAACAGAGCACACTGTTTCAGGGGAAGTGGGCAAACCACATCTTGTTGAACAGATAATGGAGGATGAGAAGTGGGAGCAAGTTGTTTGGTTTTACCAAAAAGTCATCAGTCTCATAAAAGACAAAGGCTGTCAGCGCTAAACAAATGAGCCGTGTCATCAATCAATCTCATAAAATAAATCTTATTTGTTATCATTTCTTTCTTTGTCACTATTACATGGGATAGGTGATGATGGCCGGCAATGGGGAGTTAAAATGTGACTCGGTGAGGAGCATCAAGCATCAGTAGACCATTATTGAAAAAAATAAAGGTGAGGTGAAGCTACCCCCAACCTGATGCAAACAGAGTACCAGACAAGGTCCTGTTAAACTTATGCTGAAATTTAGCTTATACTGATTTTTATGCTGAAATATTATGAGAGAAAAACACTATTCCATGACTGAAAAGTAGCTCAAGCGAACAGGGCTAAAGCGGGCAAGGAACGACGACCAATCTGGCGAATGCAACGCCGAGATAGAATGGCGTAGTGGAGATAAGCTTGGCTTCGAATCTGTTCATGGTCTGTGAAAGAGAGGAGAATGGAGACTGGACAAGGGACGAGAGTCTAGTAAACATGCATTTTTCCAAGCTTCTTTACATGTATCAAAACCAAATTAACACCCTATTATTGTACATGAGCCGAACGGTAACTTTCCTTCATGCATCAAACCAACGCCGTCGAGGTATAAATCCGACTCCAGAACTTTTATTTCCAGTGCGAATGCCGTCGAGGATTCAGGCAAAAACACACGCACGGGCAGCATCAGGTCAAATAGATCGTAAAACACAAGGGGAGAAAAATACCCAAGGTGGGCCAGACCGCTATGCCGAGTTGGTCCTCGCCGTGGAGCACGGCGATGGCAGTCGGCTCCGGCAGCACCGGCGACAGTCACATACGCTTTGCTTTGGTTCTGGTCCTCCTTTACATGGTGGTGCTGATGCTGGCCTCGTTTTATCTCCCTCCTGCCTTTTGTCCTTTGAGGATCAAAAGGACTGCGATTCCAACAAATCCTCCAAGGCTCCAACCAAGTAACAAAGTTTTGGACGAAAAAAAAATATATAAGTTGTAACAAACTCACACCAACTCTGTTTGATTGTTTCCACTGTATTTCTCCCCCAATCTGTCACCTCAATCCCGGAGCTATGGATCTGCTGGTTCATCCTATATCTAGAATTAATTTATAAATGGATAGGATAGAAGAGCTAGTAGCAAAGAATTCATCTTTTCTTTGCCGACCTATACTATACACGAGACATGAGGCTGAATTAATAACTGTATGGCGGTCAGAAGAACTAGCTAGATAATATAGAGGGCATGGTGGTCAGAAGAACAAGAACTTGGACTTGGAGCTGCATCTGAAGGCGAGCGCGGTGCCGTTGGACTAGAAGAAGCGGATCTGGCATGCCAGCCGCATCCACTGGTTGATGGTGACGAGCCCCGCGACCTGCGTCCTTCGAGAAAGTTAAATCTGCCCTTAAGGGCATATGCCCTCGTACACTGCGCCATTGGATTTGCCTTGAAATAAGGCGCGAGTGCTCAGAAGATAGCTACGTCCCAACCTCGCCACACACTGGCACCGTGCAAATAGAGTATGTTTCTCCTACCTGAAGAAGTTGCGCGGCACAGGCGCCTCTGGGTCCTCCCGCGCGGGCATCCTCGATTGCGGCAGGGTGGGCAGGGAGGTGTTGTTTCTGCTGGAAGTGACGGCAATCGATTGCGGCAGGGCAGGGAGGGAGGTGTTGTTGCTGCTGCTGGAAGTCCGCTGGAAGTGAGGATAATTTATTGCGGCAGGGCAGAGAGGTGCCAATTAATACAGTTGCATGCGTGATAGACGGATGTATTTTGTTATTTAGTTATCGGCTTGTAAGGGCAGTCTCAATGGTGTATTGATGATGGTTTCTATCATTATTAAATGACTTGCCACGTAGGTAAAACGCTGACATGGCAACGTAATTAATGAAGAAAGAGAGCAAAAATCATAGAAATTGTTTCCTCATGAAGAAATAAGGTCTACTCTTGACCCAATGCACCAAGAAACCATGAAATCGCCATTGGGAAGAAACCACCGGTTTCTAGGGAGCTCGTGTCGCACTCCCATTGGAGGAAGAAGATAGAATTAGGAAAGAGAAAGAGAAAATAATTATTATTCATAGAAACCATGAGTTGGAAAGCAGTACTTTTTTGGTGCAGTATCCTATGTTATAGAAACTACTAATTTTTTTTATTGGGACTGCTCTAATATGGCTACACACTCTTACGTAACTTTAAAATGTGTATAAAAATCAAGAGCTAGCTTTTCTCTCTTCTATTAAAATATGAGAAAAAGGGTTAGAGTTAGCTTAACACCCAAGCCCTTCATCGGCCAATGGCGTCGAACGGAACGTCACCGAAGCAACGTGTGTCGTTGTCACGCGACAGGGACGACTAGCATCCGTGATAGCGTCACGACTGGCTTGGCATCACGTCTGACGTCAGCTGGAGCGGCAGCCATAGTGAACTTTACATGGTACGTCTAGTATAATACTAAGATTGTTTATCGCGCAGACGGCCGGACTGGATGGGACGAACCCGCTCGCGGCCCAGACAAATAAGGCGATGTCAACTGGCCAACTCGGAACTGCTTGCTCGTCTTAGACCTCCGTCGGGAGCACTCTTGCCCCTCCAACTTGTTGTTAATGGCTAAATTTTTTATGGGGGCTGAGGGTGGGCCCCCCAGCCTCGGCGGCCGACGCTCTAAAACACCGATGGTTCGCCGAGAACAACGTCGTCAAAGCAAAGTCTCGAGTTGTGCATGGCTATAAGCAACAATAGCCTTGGACACGAACTGATTTTTTTTAAAACAATATATGCAACGTAAATCCTTGTTTCTCTGTAATATTAACTAGTAGTTGATTGAGTTGTGCAAAGTCTCGACACCGATAGTTCGCCAAGAACGGCGTCGTCAAAGCAAAGTCTCGAGTTGTGCATGCGCTAGGGCCTTCACATGGGGGTCCAGAGGGGTGTGAGTCTGCACAGACTCCATTACCACCGGTGGCTGTCTTGGGGCGTCCGCCATAGTACACTCCTAGGACAGAGGGTGGCTAGGTGCCATGACTCGCTGATGTTGGAGCCGTCGCTTTCAACCTCGTCATCGACGAGGTCGTGGAAGGAGGCGGGAGCATAGCCCGCCATCCCCACGAACTCGGACGTAAAAGGGGGCGGCGTCAGCATCCTTCGGAGCCTTCGCGCGCACGCGTCCACGAGGGACGCGAAGCCATAGGGGAACCGGTCGTACGACGGTCGTGGTGAGGACAACGGGGTCCCTCCAGAGAGTCGGCGCTAGGTATTAAATAGTGAGTAAAGAACAATATGTACATCACTCACCTAGGGTTCGAGCCCAGCATGGACTCGAGGCGAAGCGCGAGTGTCTTGACGTTGAGGTCGTCAAGTGGCCCGGAGCCGGTGGAGGGCGCTCCTCCTCCAGTGGACGCCGGGACGAGCGCCTCCTCGTAGAGGCGGAGTACGCCAAGCTGGTCGGTGACTATAACACCTCTGGTGTTTTGACCTAGCATTAAAATTTTACATGTCATCATATGCATTGCAAAGCATTCATAGAGTAGGAAATTTTGAATGCATTCACTAAATAAGCTTTATTTCATAGTTATTATTTTATGTGATGTAATGTGATTCAAAACTCTGAATGAAAATCATTACCACAAGGGTCAAATTTCATGTGATCATGTGAGACCATGTGTCATTTGACTCAAATAACCCTAATGGGCCATGTTACTGGTCAAAAATCAAAGTTAAGTAAAAAAGTAAACAAATCAAATTTGAATTCAAATTCCAATTATAAAAGTCCTTTTTGCCCCATTTGTCTATTTCAAAATCCATTTGGAATTTAGGGGTGTGACAAAAAGCAAAGTTGAAGCTTATTTTATAAGGATCAACTTTGGTATTCAAAGTTTTTAAAGTTTACATATAAAATTTGGAGTAATTTTAAAATGATTCAAATGCTCAAATGCACCTAAATTCAAATTTCAAAATGGAGGCAGAATTTGAAAATGTTCATTTAAGCAAAGTTGTAGAGTTTGAAAAGTTGAGCAACTTTTATTTTTGGAGATTTTCAACTTCTTTAGAAATTTTGGGAGTAATTTGTAAAATGGACTCAGTGGCAATTCTGTAAATATTTCAAAATTTTCGTTGACAGCAGAGCGCCACCGTCTGCTCGCCACCGAGCTGCCGCCGCCGATCGTCTTCACCGCTTCCTCACGCGGTGACACGTCTTTGTATCCGTGGCGACCTCGTTCAGGAGCTGGCGAAGCTAGAGGCGTCCTATCCTTCTATAAATAGGAGCACGACGCCGTCGTTCTTCGTTTCCCTTCGACTGCTCCCCGCCGGTGTCCTTGCTGCGCTCGCAAAATTCGTCCTCGCGGAAGCACTGCTTGTCAATTGCGTTTGCCAGCAGCTCCGCCTCGCCCTGCCGCTCCTTCCAGGCCTGCTCGCCTCGCCTCTAGCAGGCCAGCGCCACCGCGCGACGTCTTCTTCTTCGGAGCCGGCCGAAGCTCCGCCACGACCGACCTTACCGTGGCCACGCTGTTCCAGCCCGTGTTCGCCTTCACCAAGCACACCGTTGTGTTCGCGGTGAGCTCATGAGCGTGATGCTCTCTCCGTTTTACTCTCTACCGTGCTGTAGCCGACGTTGTACCATGCGCCGCCATGTCCGCGCCACCGTGGCCGCCATGGCTGACGTAGAGCTTCCTCCGGTGCTTCAGAAATGGTTCTGAGGGTCGGGTTAGGTTCGCGGGACGTGGTAGATCATGTTGGTGCTGTCTGTCTCGCCGGAGTCTCGCCGCTGGCGCGTTTTGGCCGACAGGTGATGGCTGCGCCGCCGTGTCCTCTGCTTGTGTCGCTGACGAACGGGCCCAAGCTGTCAGTGAGAGAAGAGGGAGAGAACAGTGAGGTTTTGATATTTTCTGCATTGTGAATAGCGCAGCAACTTTGGAAATTTATAGGAAAATAATTACAGCTCTAAAAATTCAAAAAAAATTTATGTAGCTTCTGTACATGTTCTATTATGGTTTAAAAATATGAAACTTGAAATTTGAATAAATTTTTAATGTTCAAAAATTCAGTCAATTAATTGATAAATGCAATTTCCATAATTTTTATAGGCCCCTGTATAACTCCAAAAATTATGAAATTTATTTTTGTACACTAATTTGTCATGAGGAATCTTACATAAAATTTTGAGGTCATTTGGAACAAGTTCCTTTTTGAGCTTAATTCCAAATTAATTCAAAAATGGATAAAAGCAAATCCTAAGTGTTGGTTTAGTGTTTGATCTTGTTTGGGTCATGTTTTGTGACTAGTAGGGTTTCAAGATCAATTTGGTCAATTCACTTAGGTCATAAACCCTAGATGATAGTGTCAATTGGTTTTGATTTGCAGCTGTACCGCGAAGGAAAGTTGTATTCAAGGTGTTGTTATATTTCATGCACCATGAAAGCATCATGTTTACATTATCATCATGTTGAAGCATATGTTATTATTTCGTGTAGAATCCGAGAGTGAACCGATTCTAATTGAGCAAGTTGTGGAAGAATCCCCGGTTGTCACGGGATTCGATAATTGTGGTACTGATCCGGAACCCGAGATCGTCAACGAAGGCAAGCCCCGGTTTATACATTAAACCATTACCTTGTTTACTTTGAAAAGTTTATCACCTATGTTACTTATTGCATTAAGTTGAGTAATTCAAATGTTACCTATTTGATGCATTGCCTACCTTGTTGAAAGCTCTAGTTTGGTTTTGGTTAATTGATGAAACCCTAAGTGCTAACCTAGTTTATCAAGATGTTTATGAGATAGGTAGCACTACTCCAAGTGATGAAGCAATGACGAAGATCATGACAATGGTGATAGCATGGTGATGATCAAATGCTTGAACTTGGAAAAGAAGAAAGAGAAAAACAAAAGGCTCAAGGCAAAGGTATAAAATATAGGAGCCATTTTGTTTTAGTGATCAAGACACTTAGTGAGTGTGATCACAT